GCAAGCAGAGGATGAGCGCGGACTTGTAACATTGCAATGAGGTTGTACTGTTACGCTTAGGCAGCTTACACGTGAGGTTAAAAATAGACCGAGACCGCCGTTCGTTAATTGGTAGCCTTTAATTTCAAGTACTGTAGCGGTATAGATTGAGAGCTTGGTTCGCACGTTTGTTGCCATACCATAAACATTACTAAACACGGTTTATTTACACACCATGCAATTAATTTGATCAGTCACATGATTGACCAGTACCTGGTACTTTGTGTTGCCTTACTGTGACTGTGTTATAAAGATACGGTGAAAATATTTCGAAGAGGAATATGGTTACATTTTCAAACACTAATAAGGTAAGTTACTTTCATGAGGCACGGGATTGAACCTTTTTTCGTTATTATCACAAAGACGGGAAAGAATTTGGCCTTTCGTCAGTTACAGCGAACGTGACTGGTGACTCGATGTTGCGTAGCCCAAGGATGAATGACTGCGCAAACGGAGAAAAATCTGTTATCCTCCAGCGTTTCCGCTTCAGTCGCAGAAGCCATCATCGCTAGGGACCTTACAGCCCATTCATTAAATGGCGGTTGAGTTTTAATCACATATAGAGTTGAGGATGCAGGGTATCTGTTTTATATATTGCCTAATATTTGTTATGATATACGCAGTGTACATGTGAACGTTTATGTCTTGACTTGAGGGACTCGAATTATCATCAACTTTTTCGATCCAAGCTGATGATTGATGAAAGCTTCTCCTAGATTTGCCGTAAACTATTTTCTGCGAATCTTATCCATCTTGATCTGACGAATTTTTTCATCTCATCCTGCCATCGTTCCAGAGGTTTTCTTACCGACCATATGCCCTCTCTTGGAATCAGTTCTACTGTATGTATGGTCGAGCGATGGTAGGTTCATCTATTGTCACTTCCACTTCACTGTTAACCTATTGTCGCTCGTGCAGTGTCATCGCAAATTCCTGTTTGTGCTCTTACCCATTCGTTCATCTTCCTATTTACTGCTCTTATTCCCAATATATACATTTCCATACTGCGTTGCGTAATCTGCAGTTTATGATTGGCTTTGAGACTCGGGGTCCAAGTTTCGCATCTGTACGTTAGCACTGGAAAGACACACAAATCGATCGACGCACTGATCGAAAACTATTCGTTTACTTAATTTAATTAATAGTAGTTAATTCGTCCCTGGATGGGATCTCTTTGCGCAGTGCCCCACCCGCAATATTTTTCTGTTCGGAATTTGGGGGATTCGAGGTCATATCTTCTACCTGTTATTTACACTCGCTGCTGTACAAGAACATCGAAATGCACTCGAACGTTGCTCATTTATAGAAACTAAACGCATGTTCTAACCTGGGTCTATTCCAGTCGTCTTGTTCACGCGCAATAGAATAATTTCCAGTTTTGGACAAATCCGCATTAAGACGTACAGAATTCGAGATTTCGATGACATGCTAGAGGTATATCACATGACTTCGAAGCTGCTGAGGTATATTCTGAACTGCATTAATAGCTGTACTATTTTAGCAGCGATTTTTTCATATTCATGCATACTTTGGTTCACCTAGATATATGATATTTCCCTCATCGTCGTTCCACACGTTCACCAAAAGTGTGATTGAAGATGTGTGGCCTAGAACCTTACAACGGCTAACCAGGAAGTTCCTATCGTTGCTTAAGAGGGTAAGGCTGTACACCGGATAGCCACTATTATCATTTTAGAAGTACATGCCAGCCACTGCCTTGAGTATTCTCGCCTAATGTTTTCTTAGCTTTAACGATAGTAAATCGGTCTGTAGCAACGTCTGATTTTATTGGTGACTTTGGAAGTCATTTCTTTGGCACAACATAGAAGGGCGTAAGGGTTGAGAACCAGCGATTAATCGGAGCTCCTGAAACTCAGGCCGTGAAGATAGTTCGACGAAGTGATGACATTCGACCCTCCGACTAGCGCGTTTTTCTCACGCACAGCGCTATGGCGAAGAATTCCAAGATTAGGTTGCAGTGTTGTGGCATGTCAGCCAGCGTTGTCAATGTTATAGAACGGCTCTCGAGAATGCGACGCTGTCATTCAGCGCAGAGTAAAATGGAGGACACCTGTCTTGACCGGAAAGTAATAAAGAAACGGCTGTTTTAGCAATTTCCAGATATGCGTGAAACTTAGCCACACCGTCGCGTGATTGCTTTAGAAAGCTGGAGTTTTTACTCCAAAATGATGCAGTACATTGTTCCTAGTTTTAACCCACATTTTTGTTCTTTCGATCAAAATTATGAAAACTTGTATATCTTATGCAGATTATTCGGCTGCACGCTATGAACTTGTCTTTCCTTTTGTCATTTGTATCTTTGTTAATATTTTCGTTTCATCACTGGTTGTCATATAACTGAACTAAGCTGTGTGCAATCTCAAAAGTATCGCCGTCTTTCTGGAGATTTTCTCCATCGGAATACGCATAAAATTAGAAGCAGTTTCCGTCGCTAATGAAGCGAAGTTGGAGAACGCTACTATTGCAGCGGCTAAACGCTAGCATCTGGAAGAAGAATCATCGGTCTGTAGTGCGGTCTGTAATGCACGAGGCTCCATTTATACGGTAACTGCTCGACGGCCGAAGTTTTCACAGTAAAATCAGTAGGCACACGGATTAACAATGACAGTGGTCGATTAAGAATCAAAACCGTAAAAAATTTTCTCGGTTTGAAACCAAGCTTCTGTCATTGAACCTATAAGATTAAGGTACTGAATTTTTATCTAGCCGATCGTCAGTAAATCTGTTGGCTAAAAATCTTCCAACTTATTGATCTTATCCTGTTTGTTGTTGAGATAATCTCCATGAGTCATCTGCGTAAGCAGAACGTCTCTGGTTTAGAATGCCGGCTGTATTAGCAGCTTTTCAACACTTGGTGTAAGGCATTGGTACGATATCTTTCTGGAAGCATGTCTACTCTACTGTGTTCCTCCATGCCGCATGAAGTCCTCCTGGCGGACGTCTGCCAAACTTCGGCTTCCACGCGAAAGGTGGTAGTAAGTGGCTTACGCTCAACCAGTTTATCTAACAGACCAAATATTTTTCTTGATCTTAACATTTTCAGGTGGTCACCTGTGCCCGGAAGAGCCAGACCTTACGTGGTCCTGTAATGAACTCTCATTATACCTCAAAGCCATGCTTTCGTAGATTGTTCAACCGTGATTTTTGGTCATGCGTTAGAGCAACTATATCCATGCCATGCCATACAACAACGCTGACTCGACGGAAGCCAGCTGTTGATATGACCTTAATCTGAAAGAATCAGACCCGTAAATTTCTCAACTTTCAACTTTCAATTTCACAACAGCGCAGTGATCATGGCGAACTTGCGTTAAATTTACCATATGAGGAAATTCAAATACTAATGACCTTCGGCGGAGGATAGTTTATATGTAATTCATGCGACATGCATTAAAAGCTGTCCTGCTCTCCGCACGTTTGCACAGCTGGGATATAGCAAGGTGTGGAGGGCATCTGTTTAGCCGTGAAAGTTTTTCCGACTCGCTATTCAAAATTCTTCAAAAACGCCACTCTTCCGATGACCGGGCTTTCGTACAACTGAACAGCGATGGGTTCGCTTTCTTCGTTCGCCATTGATTTATCAATTGAGATGGATAATCTTTTCGAGGAATTAAGCGATAAAGCAACGAAGGACGTATCGCTCATCGAGTGAAAGTAAGATATGCAATCAAGCGAAATAAGGTTACTTGCTGTTTTCGCTGATTTGAGATGTGCATCTCTGAAATGCACTCAGTGGAAGTTGAATCGCTGGCGGACGATATCTGGACTCAGCGAGGGTTTTGGAAACGCTATGAGGACATCGTGACGTACAGTGCATGCCAGGCCACCGAGCTTCATTGTATGTTATGGTAATGGAGTCATGAAAGCCGCCAGGCACAGTCTTCTAACGTCACTCTGCAACCAGCTATCTTCGGTTGCCTTCGTACGGCGGCGATTCGACAGCTGATCGGCTGTAGGACGTACCGTGAAGTTGCTGCTCTCTATGCTACGACAATAAACCATCCATTATTGGACTTCCATATCAGAGGGTTATGTGTATCGCCTTTATGACAATGGCTGTTGGTTTGGATGGAATTCATTAGTAGGCAAATTGTTTCCTTGATTTCTGGTGTGATATCTGTCACCAGCATCACTTCTTTGCAGAAATTTTTTTGGTAGGAATGTGGCACAATGTTTAATAGTATTCTCCTAATAATAACACTTTTATTACAAAATACAACTGCAGTCTCCCGTATTTTTGTTGTTGTCTGGCATCATCATCTTGCATGCAGAAAGCTTAATGGCTGTTTCTTTAGATTAATTATGACCGACAGACAATAGGCTGTTCCTCGAAATGTTTTAAGTATTAACTGTTTCGACACAGAGACAGAGTAAGCGCATCTGCATCTAGTAGGTTTTGCCAGCCTTCAAGCTAGCATCTTCTTCTTCTGGGCTCCGTGGTCTTCTCCCACAGGAGAAACGTACCTTCCAGGTGTTGTGTTTTCTGAGCAGTATTATCGAATCACCAGAGGCATCGCTTTCGTAATGCTTATTAGCTTATTCAGTTCGGTGTTTCTCAGTATGTGATTGTTCTTTGCTAGACGATGCTGTGAACTTCAGTTCTAGTGGTCGTTTCTTTGCGCTTCGGAATTGCAGCTGTTTGACGCCGTACAACAGGAGAACAGACAAAGCCGTTCCTTTCAACATGAAGACCATCATTTCATTCATCGTAATTGACTGGCCTTTTCTTACTTCATTCAGCTTCGCGATGTTCGCTGCTGCGAGTGAGCTCTGTGCACTCACTGGTGTCCTCCCAGCTGCGATCGTTGGCAATGACTGGACCAAGATACTTGAGACGGTCGACGATTTCCACCGTAGTACAATTCCAGTTAATTTCAACAGCGTCGAGTGTTGCGAAAATCAGCTCGATGGAGTTTGAGGACCACGAATTTGCACGTGTATCCAAACTGTTTAGGAACTGATTTCGAGATTGTGATCTTTTTCGTTGCTTTGATAATTCGATCTTTCCGTATTTGGCACAGCTTTCCGAAATTCGTTTACTCTAGTTCACTTCAGAATCAGTATCGCCATCGTTAGCTGTGCGTGTATCGGTGTATCAGTTCTTAAAATGATCATTTTCCTCTGTCGCCTCCCCGTTCCATAGGTTCTCCGGATTGTCGCGACGTGTATGCTAATAATCTTTGTCGTTCAGGCGCTGACCCGTAACCTCACACCAGCATTGTATTGCACATACTTTCGGTGAGTGTCAATAGGTCATTTTCGAAGTCGTTCAGGAGTGCGATCCTCGGCGTACTTGAGGTCCGTTATAGCGCCGGTGGGGTCGAGTTGTTTCGCGCTGACAGGCGACAGGTCCCTCGCTGTTTTTCGTAACAGCCCTCCTCCATTTAATGCAGTCCCTGAAGATGCTCACAAGGACTAGCTTTTCATGCAAGTTACTACTTCTGATGCATACTTTTCATTAATAACTTAGACGTTACTTTATTTGAGACAGTGTTCGACGTCTTCCTGAACTGAGCAGCGGATTTGATCTTACGAAAAAGTAATTTGGCTTATTGCGCTGAGTGGGAAATTCTGCCAAATGTTCAGGCAATACCCTTACACCGTACAGCCAGTTGTACAACGTGAAGTGTCGACCGCAACAAGGAAAAGTAGTTGCTATTTACTGCAGTAATAATTAATTTGGCCTGAAGGTGCATCGACCAGTCGATCTGCTAGGACCGATTGTTCGACAAATGTACTTGACTTAACAAGACTTGACTTGACCTGTTCATCGCTTGTGCAAGCGCACGTGTAACGATGATACTTGTGCTTGCCGGCTGGCACGGCAAGACCTGGCCGCTGAGTAGAAATTCGAGTACGATGCAGTGAGTACCAGTAGGTGGTAGACGAGGACGATGGGGCTGCAGTACAATTTTGATTGTTTGAAGATGAGGTCGATGCTCGCATGCCGGCGGATTTGCAGGTTCCCGTGAATGGACCGCATTGTTTTCACTGTTTTAACAAATAGTAGCTGTGGGCAATGGGTGGTTTTGTCGCAGTTGCGCGATCTGCTAGTTGTTCATCAGACGAACCTGTGTACTTTTCTTCAACGTTCAGCGAGGTAAATGTGAGAAGTGTAG